GGTTCTTAGAGTTAGAGCAGGGAGAACGCTAAAGTACACAGAGCCAGGGAGCTCCAGGACCAGGGCTTTGGAAAACAGTGCCTCACTGTAGCTGACCTTTAAAAAGAAGCCAAGCTCTGTGCCTGAAGGAGAGTAAACTGCAGTGAGACGGCGCACCTTTGGTTTTAAAGCCTCTCGGTCATCACGGCCCGGTGCACCTGTCTGCAAGAGCTCCTCTCTCTGCCTCCCGAGGACTCCCATTACATGGCTTGTGGTGCGTGAATCCCTTATTCCCTACAAGTTCCCCTCCTGAGTTAACTCCTTAAACCCCAAGGACTCATCAGCAGGTCCAGAGTTCCCTTCTTCAATATCATAAGTATCAGTGCACTGTACTTGCCAAGCAATGCATGATGCATATTAATTACTAAATAAGTCTTGAAGCAATAGTTCACTAATTTTTTCTTTATCACAAATGTTGTCAATCAATCAAGACATGTTTAGTGTTTGAAATTTCCTTCTGTAGTTTTGCACTGGAGCTACTAGTGCTGATAAGGATAAGAAGTAATGGAAGCGTTATATTAGCAACTAAACTTCATGCCTAAATCATTATAAACAGTATAGAGATGTTAAATAATCTTAAACACACTTGCTTATGTGGTTTCTGACACTGTATGGCATACTGTTCATACTTTCAAACATAAAGAAACTAATTCAGGCTCCAATATGACACTTATAATCATTTTCAGTTAGTGTTATGGATAACAATATGTCATAAAATATCAGAAAACACATAAACAAGTTATTGTTAGACTAACAGCCAGGAAAGGATCATGTTCTAGAAAGGTTTGAATTTTGTGTATGACCTTTGCATCAAAATTTCTTCTCGTTGTCTTTGAAAACCGTGTGTGTAATGCACCACATCTAAAACAGGGGTGTCAAACTGGTTTCCTTCCAGGCCACAGCTCAGCAGAGATTAGCATTTTCCCTCTTATAACACCCTGAATTCAACTCAGTAAGGTGTTGCTAATTGGATGAAGAGCTCAATCAGATGCCTTTAATGAGGCACAGAGGTGGGCTCTGCTGAGCTGTGGCCTGGAAGGAGCCCGGTTTGACACCCCTGATTTAACACATCCAACACTGAATGGCATTAAATATAACATGTTATACCCTTAAAATTACAGTCTTATTACATACCAAGGCTTATTACTCAGTAACTGCAAGGACTTCAATGCAAATTGGTTGAGATATTCTTAGGTTATAGAAGTGTGTGATAAAACCTTGGGCCTGCATGCAGGCTTTGGCCCTGTAAGGGGATAAATGGCAACAACAAAATCTTATGTGTCAACTATAATAGAACAGATAACATTTCATCATTTATTTCATTTCTTTGATCTTTTGTTCATTCATTTCATTCATCTAATCTTTGCGTCTGCAGCGGATTGTCCCAGGTAGTCAAAAGAGGCCCCTAGGCACCGGTCCGTAATCCATCCCTGTTAGCGATGTACTTTTGTTAGCTACATTAGCCTTGCAGCTCCAGTGAAAAACTAAAGAAGCAAACCTCAAACACCAAACATGTCTTGGCTGATCAACTACATGTCGACTGAAGGGGAAGCTGTACAAATTTAACTTTGTTTTTTCAGACTGCAAAGGCAAAAGCAACACAAGTAAACCCTCAAAAACACAAACTTCCACAAATGGAGTCTTCACTACCTGCACGCTATGCCATTCAGCTGACAGTGACAGTCATACCATGAAAAAAGTGGCCTTTGAGTTTACAACATTTGATGCTTGTAAAAGAGACCAAAATGTGCCAATAAGTGTGTTCAAGCTTAATTAAATGAATTCAAAGTTCTTCATCAAAATGAATTTTAAATATATGTACTATAGGCACAGTTATTGGAGTTGCACTAAATAAAAGTTGATTAAGCATCAAATCTCTGCCATGCAACACTGTGTATAAAACTGCAACACTATATACAACAATTTAGTATAACAATTTGAATTTTAATATGTTCTTGAGTCCCTTATTTAGTCCTAAATATAATATACTATTACATCAGTCCCTTAAAATCTCAGGCATAATACTAAGGCTTATTATTCAGTAACTACAGGGACTTCAGTGTAAACTGGTTGAGCTATTCTTAGGTTATAGAAGTGTGTAATAAAACTTTGGGCCTGCCGGTGGGCCCTGGCTATTTCAGGGGTTAAAAGGAAGTGACTCAAGTTTTTAGAGACCAATGTTGCCTTCAGGTCCTCCTCGGAAGTTCCTACTTACGGCTTCGGAAGCTGTATGACGTGATTTAAGTGGATTTGGTGCTGGAAATAATTTTTTTTGTTTACTTTTATCTGTTTGTCCAAGAGAGTACGTTTATTTTGCATCGCTGCAACAAAATACAGAGCAGAGATGCGCATTTGATGAGTAATGTTTTTAACCAGTTAGAATCATTGCACAGCATATGCTCATATCCGTTTTCTCACGTGTGGATGACAGGCTAAGATTTTAGCCTGCAGTGCTCATATGTGGCTGCTGAATAACTAAAATACACCCAGTTTGCAGAACAACTCTCCCACTCATTACGACACTGTGGTGGCACTCATCTCGTAAATATGATGTTTCCAACATGAATAAATTTAGCTTTTTCTTAGTATAGACAATGTTTTCTCCATCTTTGACAGGGTCCTGCATAACATGTCACACCAAATGTGTAATCTTGATAACAGGGAGCATGGCAACCACCTGAAACATTCCACTCTGCCATAACTTGCAGAGCCCTGCTGGTGACATCCTGTGTAAATAAAAATAATGCGTAATGTATGGGAATGAGATTATTAACCCTTGTGTGGTGTTGGTGTGTTTGTTACTCAGTGGTCTGACGGAATCACCACATTATTGCTTTTTTAAATCAATACAGCCATAACGATTTACATAAAAATACCAGATGTTTAAAATATCACAAGTGTCCAGCGTAGGGTTCTCCTTTAGCAGCTGTAGCCAGTCAGCAGCCTGTCCATGTTGTCCACCCTCACACACACACACACACACACACACACACTAACAACAGACCTTGCAGGAGGAGAACAGAGTGAAGGACACAGCACCTCCACACTTTTAATCCCTGGCAGTTCAGCCCAACACCACAGGTGTAATATAAATGTGTGGGGGGTGAACAGAGTGAAGACACTGAAAATGGGTTATTTTATATGTTCTTCACAAAAAAATGAGCAAAAGCCAAGAAATCTGAGGTTGAAATAATAATAAATCACATCATTTTTTATTTTGGTAAACAGTGAAAATGGGTCCCACAGACCTGAACACCACACAAGCATTAAGTTGTGTCCATGACTTAGTAAGGCGTGGGAACGAGATCATGCCTTACTAAGTCATGGCCACACATTAGGATCTCATTCCCATGCCTTACTAAATTGTGGCCACGCATTAGCATCTCGTTCCCATGCTTTACTAAGTCACGGCCACAACTTAATTACCTTGTTCCCATGCCTTACTAAGTCGTGACCAGTGTGATGATGACTACGGCCGAGTGTTTATCCCCACTGCTTAGGGCTTGACAGCAATAACTTCTGGCTTTAGTCTATAGATTCTGTCCTCTCACAACGGCTGCTGTTTGTCTGCAGGACACTTAAAGAAGACTTGGTCCGCTCAGTCCACCTGCATTGAGCCTCGTTTATTTTGTAAATATATTTCAGTTTTTGTTTGCTTTTTTTTTTTCTTTCGTTTTACTCTCATCACTTGTAAACACTGCACTTATTTGGTGGGTTCAGAGAACTAATAAAAGGCGTGGCTGTTAAACTGGAACTCCTAGTGTCCTGGCTTCCCTAGCACTTCGCCTTGGGCGCTATGACCACACGTAAAAAGTACCACAACCACGCATTATATTTATTTATACAGGATGTCACCAGCGGGGCTCCATAGCGTAATGAGGGTGGACTTGGTGTTATTTGGTACAAAAATATAAACATGCTCAATAAGGAAGAAAAATATAAGTTTTGGGGTAAGAGTGATGTTATTTGGAACTATGGAGGACAAAATAGTGTGAGTTCTTGTCATGAAGAACAATTAAAGACAAAGTCGATGCTGTTATCTGTCATACAGCCTCAACAGTGGTCCTCATTTGAGTGTCTCCCACACAACTAGGTGGACAAGGTTGTTTACCGGCGCTGCTTGCTCATGTAACACGTCACACCGTTTCCAAAAAAAATGTCAAATTGAGCAGAATAAGCTATCGGACAAAGGGGCTGTTATTTATAGTCGGCTTCGTGAGGCAGGCAGTGATGAGGAAGTTCAGTTGCAGAGGCATTAACCGCGTCAGGTGTGTGTACATGTCTACGGCTGTGTATTTCATACCTTGCAGGGACCAAATGTCCTTAGAATGAAGTGGACATGCCCTTAGGATGAAGTGGACATGTGGACGGGGAGCATCCACATGTCCTAGGGGATGTCTCGACGCTCCCCCGTGAGGAAAAAATGCTTTTATTTACACAAAATACAGTTTTTAATTGAAAAAGTAAATGAGCTACAAGGTTTGGTGCTGGTTGCTAGGGTCAAGCTCAGAGCTGGGTTAGGTGTAGCATAGCAAAATGTAGGTAAAGTGATAGATGAAGCCCACTAAGACAGGAATACTAACTTGTGTGTGTGTGTGTGTGTGTGTGTGTGTGTATGTGTGTGTGTGGGTTGGAGGATTCCTGTTGCCTTAGATACGGCGCGTGAAAACCAGCCTGCATTCACGGTCTCTCAAATCAATGACAAATGCGCTTCATGCCTTCTCGTTCGTATTAATCGTATTCTTTAATCACTCAGTCGTAACGCGCTCGTTGTAAATACGAGCGGAAAGACCTAAGGGGGCTTTAAAAACAGAACACCACCAGCCACCCCTCACCAGGAGGCTGGCAGACATAGAGACGAACCACTCCGTTCAGTGCAGACAAAAATAAGCAGCTGGTCACTCACGGACAGTCATTTCACAGCGACGTTTTTCATTCGCGAGAACGCGCTCTGTACTCACGCTTTTCTTCCTCAGATGTAAGCCGTGCTTCAGCAAGCCGGGCAGGTCGCGGATCTTCTGCTTCAGCTGCACCTGCTCCCGCGCGCTCCGGTTCCAGCGCCAGCTCGCGAGCAGCCCGTCCTCAGGCGCGCACGGAATGCTCTCGGATTCCTCCATGGTGCCGTCAAAGGCGGACAGGCGGACGCTTCACGCGAGCACCATTCCTCCACCTTCTCCCGCTCCCTCGATCTGTCTGTCGCTCTCGCTCGCGCGCGCTCTCTCTCTCTCTGTCTCCTCTCAGAGCGCGAGCATCCGCAGTGAGGAAGAAGCGGAGGGAGCAGAAGGAGCACGACGACCCGGCTCTGCTCCACCCAAAACGCCGCGCGCGCGTCTCCCAACCCTTAGCAGCGTACGCTCAGTCCTACAGGACGTGCGTGCGCGTCTGAGTGCGCGTGTGCATACGTGTGTGTGTGTGTGTGTGTGTGTGTGTCTGAAGGGGAGGGGTTGTTGGGTTTGGGTGGGTGTGGGGGGTGGCGAGGGGGGCTTACAGGTGGAGCAGGAAACAAGCACGCATCACTTCCACCTCGTCCTCGAGCCCTTGCGGGGATTCGCCGCGAGAAACGCGGATTATTTACCGCAGCCAAACACCCGGGACACTTCAGGCACGTGCACAGGCGCGAACGGGGCCGGTACTGCAGACAGCGCGCGGGCTGATGACAACCAGGCCAGGGAATGAGCGTTTCCTGCTGCTAGACATTTGTTAGGATCAATGAGACGCTCCAAAAACGTTTAACCTCTTTATCGGCTTTACGCCAAAACATCACCGCCAGCACAGGACGAACCAGAGCAAGAACAGACTGAGACCTGGACACAATACAGTCCACAGCATTTTGTATCTATTTTAATGATTATTACCATTTCTTCGAACTCCACATGCTTTTGGAATGAATGAATGAATGAATGAATGAATAGATAAATAAATGCAGGCATACAATCAATAACTGATCAATAAATAAAGAAAGCAGTCCTGTTCTTAGGTGTCCTACTGCTCTCTGGACTCTGACCAGCCCGAGCCTGAGAGATTATGCAGGGCTACTGATAACCACCTTATTGTCTGTCTGTTAGCCATAAAGATGTTATCACACTTGACTGTGCATTTTTCAAAAATATAAGAAATAATATATAATAGTCTACATGGATTGAAGGAGAATTGTCCACATGCTTAATGGGCAATTAAAGTATCATACACTCTCAGAAATAACGGTAGTAAACTGTCACTGGGGCAGTACCCCTCTTGTCACTGGGGTGGGACCCTCAAGGGTACATCTCAGTACCTTTAGTCAGGGAACATAGTTTACCATAATCCAGCGAAATTAGTTGTACTGACTCCACACACCCCGTCTCGTCTCTGGGCTACAAATATGAACTTTTCACCTGGAAAAACTTATTTAAGGTATTCAATTGGACATTAAAACCACTGTTGAACCTGTGAGGGAACATTTACATTGTTTGTCCCTTGATGAACAAAAAAAATGCACCTGCACAGAACCTTTATTTCAAACAGTGTACACGTATTTATATTAAAAACAAGGTTATTCATGTTTCAGGAGGAGGTTAGATATCATCCACTTAAGGAAGAGGACAGTAAAAGAAAAATAAGTGAAAAAAACAGCTTTCCTAAATTGCACACTTCAAAAAGGGGGTTCTTCAAGGGTTCTTTAGTAAAGGAAATGGTTCCATTTCGAACAATGTGTTCTATACAGAATGATTTCATGTCTAAATGGTTCATTTCATGGTGAAATGGTTCTTCAGCTTGATGGAGAATGTGTGTGTGTGTGAAGTAGAAATAAAAGTAGAAAATGTGTAAATCAAACAAAGAATCTCCTGGTGTTTTTAGAACAATGGATTAACCACCCCAGAGTCCAGGCCTCAACAGTATTGGATGTGTTTGGGATTATTTGGATTGCAAGAAGCAGAAAACACAACCAACCTCTAAGACTGAACTTTGAAGGTGTGGAAAAACATCCCTAATAAAAATTAAGTTTTATATTTAGTTGTTAAGGCTTCTGTGTCATTTTCGGTCAAATATATCATCGCTGTCCAAAGAAAGATTAGTATCTCCAAAACAGTAACTTTACAGGAGACGACAAAAACATTCTTCACTTTTAATGTAAGTTAATGTAAAAAGGTTTTCATTCATTCATTCATTCATTTGTTCTATCATCCATCATCTTAAACCAGTTAGTCCAGATAGAGTCGCAGTAGCTGTTGGGAGAGCAGAGAATCCCAGGTGACCCTGAGCCGCTCCCCGGCCAACTTGGAGATATAATCTCTCTATTGGATCCTAAGGACGACCCCGGGGTCTCATCCCAGTACGTCCAGGGGGTATCCTGATCAGATGCCAGAACCACCTCCACTGGATCCTTTCAATGTGGAGGAGTAGTGTCTCTATTCTGAGCTCTTCCCGGATGACCAAGCTCCTCATCTGGTCAAGTATAGTGCAGCCCACCACCCTGCGAAGAAAGCTCATTTCCACCGCTTGTATTCACGACCTCATTTTTTCGGTCATTACCCACAGCTCATGACCGTAGGTGAGGGTTAGGATGTAGACCGACCGGTAAACAGGAGCTTTGTCTTATGGCTCAGCTCCCTCTTCACCACTACAGTCTGGTACAGTGACCACATTACTGCTGCCACCTGTCCCAGCCTGCGATCTCTCGATCCCTCTTCCCATCACTCATGAACAAGACCCAAAGATACTTAAACTCCTCCACCTGGGACAGGTCCTTCCCCCGTACCTGGAGGTTTTATTCCAAGCTATTTTAGAACATTTGGTTGGACCATTCATCATGAAAAGGCCAGACAGTGTAAAGAACATCTGCCACACTCGAATTATGTACAATAGCAAAAACTGGAAAAAATGGAGATACATGTTTTTCTTTGGCCAGCAGTGATATGCTTCTTGTCTTTTTTTCTGACAATGAAACATGAATAACTTGTACTCAATATTCATATTTGACTGGAAATTAATTCAATAAACAGTGGTCTCTGACTTTTGCACAGTCCTATACATACACATTACAGAATAAACACACTGACAGCAGAGAAAAACAGTATTAAACACATTTAAGTGTGTGCCTAAGACTTCTGTACAGTATTGTATGTTGTAAAGCTCTCAGAGTGATAAGCAAAAGAAAAACATCTAAAAGAAATAGAATTATGTACATTATGTACAAAATTACATCATCACTAGAGACTGTTATTTCCTGGTGTGGTGTTAGTGCTTTAAGGCTGTTTTCACACCTAGTTTGTTTGCTGAATTTGGCACCAGAGTTTTTTATGACATGGTTGGGTGTTTGGATAGTTTGGTGGTTTAGTGGAATGGTTTTCCCGGTGTGTTGTAACTAGCTTTAGGTCTGGCTTGGTGGTAGCGTGGAAGCTTTACTTGATTTTTATGCCCTGGGGTCTTTTCACATTAGCACACATCGCTTGATTGACACAGTCTGACAGCCAGCCACACTGTTTAAAAATGCATGGCAGGTCAGAACTGCTCAGTAGCTTAAACAATCGCTTTGTAACCACCAGGCTTAATAAACATGGCTGCACTGAATGCTCTAGTACCCAGAAAAACACAGCACCGAAATCCTTAATGCCCTTACATTACAGGCCTAGTTGATCCTCCAATAACTTAAAACCATTCCAGTGGAAACAGAACCACTTTACACCCCAGACAGAACCACTCCCTAAAAAAGGCACAATCAACCCTTTAGTCCGCAAAGCTCCAGGTTCATTGCTCTGTTCTCAGTGGGTGCATTCATACACTCGGAAAGCGCGGCTACACGAGCGCTATCTTCTGATCTTAAGCGGTAGAACTGTTAGCAATCAGGCGACATTACAGCGCACTGTCAGAGTGAAAAATAGCCTGCATGTGTAGGACTGAATTGAGAATATTACTCTGGGGGTTTGCAGCTGAGGGGCCGTGAGGGCTCCATAGGCGCCGGAACAATGGAGTCACACCCACACTTTCAATAGAGGGAGTAGGAACGTACGCTTTTGCTCCCACAATTTTTATCTGGATAAAATATAGATTTTTTGGTGTAAGATTAACAAAATTATTTCTTTCTTTATGTCATTCTAATAGTACCCAATAAAAATGCTATTAGAATGAGAATGAGAGCAGTGAAGATGGCTCAGTCTTTGAGATGAATTCAGAGCAAGGTGGCGAGTGTTGGCTGACATTGGTATTAAATATAAAAATAAAACCTGGAGGCATTTGATTTAGTGTATATTCATTATCTTACTAAACAGTTATTACCAGAAGTGACTGTTTTAGCCATAAAAACGTTCAGTATCTTGCAGTGAGCTGCAAAGTGAAGATATCTATCAGCATATCTTCTTGCTGATGCTAATCCCACCCACAAGTTGCTTGGTAGCCACTCTTTTAAACATGACATTATCTAAAAGCAGCGCTACGTTACATAACCTCTCAAAACGAAATGCTCCAAAAGGGTTCTTCAGAGTGGTGACATAGCAGCACCAGTTTCGGTTCCCTAAAAACATTTCTGTTGAAGGTTCACTTATAAAGTGACATGTAGAATCTTTGTAAAGTTTGAAGAAATTCTACAATAACTACAAATATTCTATAACATAAAAATAACATATAAAATTCTATAGCATCACAGTTTTTTTTTTTCAATAACCATTTAGCTTATGTTATTTGTCTAGCTAGCATTTTTGCCTGGATTATTCAGGATTGTAACTCATAGGAATGGGGAGTACAGCAAACATGTAGCATCACGATACTTATAGACAGTCAGGTCCATAAATATCTGAACATTTGTCAAAGTTATTGTTATTTTATCTGTCTACCAAAACATATTAGAGAAATTAAATAATGAATATTTCAGTCCAGCTTCAATTTAAGAGTATTATCATTTTAAGTGTGGTATTTGGATTTGGAATTTGTTGCTATTAATTGTCGATATAAAGTTAGAAGAGCTGTCACTGCCAGTTAAGCAAGCCATCATTATGCTGAAAAACGTTGCACCTGAATGATGGGAAGAGGAGAGTGTGGAGGGAAGGAACTGCTCATGATCCAAAGCATACCACCTCATGTGATTAGCATGGTGGAGGTAGTGTTATGGCATGAGCATATATCACTGCCAATGCTTCCCTTTATTGATGTAACTGCTGACAAAAGCAGCAGGATGAATTCTGAAGTGTATAGGGCTACATTATCTGCTCAGCCAAATGCTTAAAATAGCACTGGATGGTGCTTCACAGTGCAGATGGACAATGATAGACCAATATTTTTTTCAAAGCAAGAAGTGGAATGTTCTTCAATGGTCAAGTCAATCGCCTGACTTCAATCCAATTGAGCATGCAGTTCATTT